GCACTGGCACTGAGCATTCTCAAAATAAAAAAGGAGTCATATAAAAAATGGAAACTAGGACAAATAACAAAGGATAAATATAGGCAAGCAAGACGGGAATGCAGGGGCAAGATTAGAAAGGCAAAGGCACAAAATGAGATCAAACTAGCTACTGCATAAAGGGAAACAAGAAGACCTTTTATAAATACATTAAAAGCAAGAGGAAGACCAAGGACAGGGTAGGCCCACAGCTTAGTGAGGAGGGAGAAGCAGTAACAGGAAACTTGGAAATGGCAGAGATGCTCAATTACTTCTTTGTTTTGGTCTTCACCGAGAAGTCTGGAGGTGTGCCTAACGTAGTGAATACAAGCAGAGAGAGGGTAAGTTTAGAAAATAGGATACACAAAGAACAAGTTAAAAATCACTTAGGAAAGTTAGATGTCAGCAAGTCACCAGGTCCTGATGAAATGCATCCCAGGATACTCAAGGAGCTGATAGAGGAGCTATCTGAGCCTTTAGCTATGATTTTTGAAAAATCATGGCAGACAGGGGAGATTCCAGAAGACTGGAAAAGGGCAAATATTGTGCCCATCTATAAAAAGGGGAATAAGAACAACCCAGGAAACTACAGACCGGTCAGTTTAACGTCTGTCCCAGGGAAGATAATGGAGCAGGTAATTAAGGAAATCATATGCAAACACTTGGAAGGTAATAAAGTGATAGGGAATAGCCAGCATGGGTTTGTGAAGAACAAGTCATGCCAAACTAATCTGATAGCTTTCTTTGATAAGATAACGAGCCTTGTGGATAAGGGAGAAGCGGTGGATGTCATATACCTAGACTTTAGTAAGGCATTTGATACGGTCTCGCATGATATTCTTATTGATAAACTAGGCAAATATAACTTAGATAGGGCCACGATAAGGTGGGTGCATAATTGGCTGGATAACCGTAGTCAGAGAGTTGTTGTTAACGGTTCTAAATCCTGCTGGAAAGGGATAACAAGTGGAGTTCCTCAAGGGTCTGTTTTGGGACCCGTACTGTTCAATATCTTCATCAATGATGTAGATATTGGGATAGAGAGTACGCTTATTAAGTTTGCAGATGATACCAAACTGGGTGGGGTTGCAACTTCTTTGGAGGATAGGGACATAATTCAAAATGACCTTAGCAAGTTAGAGAAATGGTCAGAGGTAAACAGGATGAGGTTTAATAAAGAGAAATGCAAAGTGCTCCACTTAGGAAGGAACAATCAGTTCCATACATACAAGATGGGAAGCGACTGTCTAGGAAGGAGCATGGCAGAAAGGGATCTAGGGGTCATAGTGGACCACAAGTTGAATATGAGTCAACAGTGTGATGCTGTTGCAAAAAAAGCAAATATGATTCTAGGTTGTATCAACAGGTGTGTTGTAAGCAAAACTCGTGAAGTCATTCTGCCGCTCTACTCTGCACTAGTTAGGCCTCAGCTGGAGTACTGTGTCCAGTTCTGGGCACCACATTTCAAGAAAGATGTGGAGAAATTGGAAAGGGTACAGAGAAGAGCAACAAGAATGATTAAAGGTCTAGAGAACATGACCTATGAAGCCAGGCTTCATGAACTGGGCTTGTTTAGTTTGGAAAAAAGAAGATTAAGGGGGGACATGATAGCGGTTTTCAAATATCTAAAAGGGTGTCACAAGGAGGAAGGAGAAAATTTGTTCCTCTTGATTTCTGAGGACAGGACAAGGAGTATGACCTCTTGAGGTCCCTTCCAGTCCTATTATTCTATGATTCTATGATTCTATGATTCTTCCTGTAATCTTTAGTGAGACAAAACATCAGCAGTTGATCTGGGTTAGCAGCTGGATGAACACTTTATTTACCTGATTGTCTGCAGACATGGAGCCCTGCAGATCCCACTGGCCGCAGTTCAGCTTTCCCCGCCAGCAGGAGCTGCAGAAAATGGCACATGTTGGGCCACCGCTTCTTGCATTTCCCATTGGCTGGGAATGGTGAACCATGACCACTGGGATCTGTGGAGCTCCATGCTTGTGGACAATCAGGTAAGCAAACTTCCTGGCTGCTCACCATGGGCTCACCCATTGGAACCACCTGCAGCTGGTGGGCTGGAGATCCCCCACTTCTGCAATACAACATTTTGCTGTCGTGCTGAGCTAATGCTTTTGTCACTTCAAAGGCTAAGTCAGATAATGAGATAATGTGGCATCTTCTGCAGTGAAGAACTTCAGCAACAGCTGCTTTAGATATAGAAGTTGAGGGTAATCCTCCTCTTTGAATAATGCCACATAGGTCTGTGTTATGCATATCAGAACAAGTCTCACGTTGAGTGCGGGAGGTTAAGGTTGGATATTAGGAAAAAGCCTACTTCGCTAGTAGCACTGGAATGGGTTTCCTAGGAAGTTGGTGGCCAGTCCATTCTTAGAGGTTTTAAGGCCAGACTTGACAAAATCCTGGTGGAATGATTTAGTTGGGGTTGGTCCTGCTTTGAGTAGAGGATTGGACTACATGGTCTCCTCAGGTCTCTTCAAACCTTAATCTTCTATGATTCTATGATATCAAACAATGAGTGTACCCTATGAAATCACTCTTCCTTCTTACATTAAAACAACGAGAAGCTTAACTTTTATAAACCAGATCATTTTCTTCTAAACATTACAGTCATTTCATATCTAATCATATCTAGTCATTTTAATCCCCGAAAAGTTAATTTCATTGTGTTTTACCAAGTTAGGGTTAAAACTTCTAGATTTGCAATTGATTACAAAAAATAAAAATGGCCAGTTATTAAGTCCTAAATGAGTAATTTGCAGCTTATTTCACCCTAGCTAATTAAAATGTAATCAGTATTGTTTGGCAATGTGCATTCTGTCAGCAGTTTTACTTTGGAAAAAAATCATGCCAAGAAAACACAAAAAAAGCCTTTGACTAGAAATTGGCTTGATCTAAACTGCAGCCTTAGCCACTGACACTGTAAAACAAATAAGTTACAACCCACTGACAATGCAATAAAATATACTAGGAACTGCTTTTTCATGTTTTTTCTGCTTTCCAGACATTTTCTTAGCAAGCATTTTACTGTTCCAAAATCCAGGGCATCTTCAGGGAAAATCTTGGGACTGCAAGTACTCTTTGCCACACAAATGAATATGCAAGTTCAGATACTTTTCCCTTCCCCTTTCTTTCTCATATGGACAGTCAGTAGAGTATCTCAGGCTCTCCATCTCCATTTAAGAGGGGTTACTTTGCATTCTTTTGTAGACTTTTTATTTTTAAATTCAGCTACAGATACTAGACAGCTCCTGTTGGAATGGAAATGTCAAAGCATTTGGGCGTTATTTTTTGATTGAATTTAAAATATTTTATAGGTGATCCAGTTTTTTTAAAATACAACACTTCAGATGAACTCCTTTGCTCTGCATAAACAAAGCTCTTTATGCAAACATTTCTCTGGCAGTTTGTGTTTGTTTCAGTGCGCTCTAAAGGGCAGGGAAGAAACAGGATCACTTCCCTCTCACCTTATCCTCATTTGTGTTTGGGGACAGAGCACTAGAATGCTAATATATTCCTCTGTTCAAATTGGTGGAAGGCCAGTTTATAAAGGGGAATGAGGGCTGCTTTTATACGCACTTCAAAGTGTTTTCACCGTTTCCTTCTGGTCAATGCGATTCAGTGTTTTCGTCGCCACGGAACAGGTGGGAAGGGCAGATTGGGAGGCTGGAAGAGGTACTAAAGAGGGAAGCTGTGGACACGGCGAGTGGGAAGGATACACGATTTCCTAATAAGATAAGATCTCCGCAATGCTTTGTATTTTTGAGCCATCCGTTTAGGGGTGTCTCATTTTACCCAAGACAGGTCTCAGTCTCATGCTGTCTCTTGACCTGTATCCCAATTCCCATTCCTCCCCCACTCCCATCATTCATCATCACCTCCACCACTCCATAGAGACTTGTCCTGCATGGCTGTGGCACAGGGCAGAGTTGTATTATAATCATCGTCTCCCCTTCCGCTTTTTCTGTGGCAGAAAGGAACAGAGGCTCCAAACCCTTGGCCACTTCTCCGAAGAAAGCGCCCTACATTTTCAAGTCGACCATAAGAGAAACCCCACTAAGATCCGATGCCCCGTAATGCACACCTGCTTCTTAACATCAGAGCAACCAAAACTTAGAGCATCTGCCTCCCCTGCAGCCCCTAAGCCCCCCCTCACATCCACAGACCCCAGTGTCTTGTCCTATTTCGTTTTCACCCCGCTCTTAAGTCTCCCAAGTAAAAAGCAGTCGTGCGCGCTTAACGAACCATCCCAGGACATAGCCCCGGCGTGAATTCAGGAGCCCTCGGAAGCGCGGGGCTGCAAGTCCTGTTGTTGTCCAAGTACCGATCAGCGCAAACGGGGCACCTGTGACAGGGGGAAGAGAGCTGCCTTGCCCCCTCAAGTCACCTTTCTAGGGCACAAGCTGACTGCTTCAGTGGAAGATCTCAGCCAGCAAGCCCGCCCCGTTCCAGCAGGGCTAAGAAATCCCCACATGCCATTCCTAGTGCTTGCGAGCCTGTAGCCAAGCCCGCCGAGCACAGCGCTCTGCGCCGGCAGGAGGGCACTCAGCAGCCTCAAAGTGGTGCTTGTCTACACAGCGTAAGGGCGGGGGCGCGGTTCCACTCCTAGTTCTGGGTGCTCCCCCTGCTGGTGGGAAAGGGTGTCCACCTGCCTAACCTCTGGGGCAGGGACTTGTGTGTGGGTCGGTGTGTGTGTGGGGGGGGGGAGTCTATCCTGCGACATAAGCAGCCCCTTTGGAAACTCCTGCGCGAGGAGTTTGCAAAGAGGCGCTGAAGTCCGAGCCGTCCCATATACCCCCCACCCACGCCTCACCCTGAGCGCGCGCACTCCAGCCCCGGGCAGCGCTGCCCAGCAAGTGTCCCCGTGCCCAGGGCTTGCGCGCGTGGCGAGCGCGTGGCGAGCAGGGCCAGGTGCGGGTGCAAGGGAGGGGGGGGAGGGTCTCTCCTCCGCTACTGCGCTGTTACCGTACCTGGAAATGCTTGAAGAAGGCAGATATGCGAGTGATCTGCAGGCTCAGGCACCTGGAGGTGCATCTGGCTCTGTAGACACTGACAGCGGAGAAAGACTCGTCCTGCTTGCGCGCTGCAGCCACCCCGGCAGCCGCAGCCAGGCAGCCCCAGGAAGCCGTAATCCAAAGGCAAAGGGTCAGCGCCACAGCGGGATCCTTTCGCACCATCGCGCAGCGGGCGGGTGGGTGCGGAGGGGGAGCAGGGGTGCAGCTGAGCGCAAGAGCCGCCCGGATAAGCTCCCGCGCACCGAGCTGGTGCTGGACTGGACTGGGGGGGAAAGCTCCGCGCTGCAGAAACTAAACAAGAAAGTTCAATCATTCAACTCTCTTCACCCCCCCCCTTCCCTCCCTCCTCTCCGACCTCCCCTCCCCAGAACACACCCCTCCCCTTACTCCCTGGAGGGGGTGGGGTGAGGGTGACAGGAGGCTGTGCCATTGGCTGCGAGAAATGGGAGTGACAAGCCGAGCCGGGCTGTCTGGCCGCAGACAGGGGACAGAGAATGCAAGGGAGCTGGTGAACTTCTCTCCTGGACACATACCCTGGCACACAGATCCTACCCGTACCCCCCCTTTGCTTGCTTAGCGCTCAGCCCTCAGCTGCTCTGAAGTAGACACCCCAAAACACAAACACCCCTCGTACGCGCGCGCACACACACACACAGACACACACACACACACATACGCGCGGCTTGCAGCAGAGTGCTCACGAGCCCTGTTAGCTCTCCCTGACATCACAGGGAAAGGAAGACACGCAGCAACCTGCCGGATCTGGCTCTTAAGCAGGTCTACCTACTTATCAGACACAAACATGCCTAATGCACCCAGGCAAACACAAACACACAGCCCCACAGACCGACTGAGGCATATTGACTTAAAAAGACACGCCCGGTATGTACACAGACAAGCACATCTTGCACGCCTTGGAGTCTGTTCCTCCCCTACCCTCCGTCAAACCTCACATTTATTTCATTCTATTGTTAATACTATTCTTGGGTTCATATGCCTTATTTTTACTTATGAACTCAGACATATTTAGATGCATTCAGCTACTGGACAATTCCTCTTAGTCTGTTCAGTGCTAAGGTCTAAAAAAGTGTAGTGAAATTGCAGCTTACTGAAGACTGGGAGTTTCCCCATAGTAAAATCCCAAGTCAGTGCTAAACATTTGTTCCAGACTGGAGCTTGCATGAAATCTCATCCTAGTGTGTTATTTAACAATAAATTTTACAGGTCATTAGTCTACTGCCTTTAGGCAATAACTATAAAATTAAAATGATTAACACCTTGTGCTTTATAAAATAAAATAGCTAAAATACACATACAATAACTATTCTTTTGTTGTTATTGTTTGTGTATTTACAGTGCATGCACACAGTACAAAGCACATAGGTTACATTATACATTAATTTTAATATACTGTATATAAACACCGATTGCTGCCATAAATAATACAAGGAACAAATATATTCTTTCCCAACTGTAGTCAGTATGTTAAATCTTCCAAACTAGGTGATCCCAAGCTTGTATCACATGACAGAGCTGATAATTGGGGCCATTATAGGAGGTGTAAATATGTCCACTGTCAAAATAATGTATAGATTATTATGTCAATGGTTTATAGACTGCTGTAGTCTCTTTTGCTCAATATATTGTAAAATACAGCTAAATGTATGTTGGAAAAATCGCCTTCAATGAAACAAGACTCTGACCAGTGCTCTGTGTAAGCTGTGCATTTATAGCGGCCACAAAGGATAGATTCCAATGCCACCCAGCTGATTAGCAGAGTGCTCACTGCTAGGTTTGTGTTTCTCCTGGTGGTGTGCATTCACACGTGTTTGGTGCACATAACAAAATGTATTCCGCACAAGGATCGAAAAATATTTGCACATGGATGGAAAAGTTTACAAGGAACATTGACTGTGACTGATCTCACTAGTACAGGTTAGACCTCTCTGGTCCGGCACCCCCAGGACCTGACTGGAACTGAACAAGGGAATTTGCCAGACCAGGGGAAGTCCCTTATTACCAGCCCTACAGCCCACTGCCACTTCCCACTTCTGGCTCCAGCTGTCACCCCCATCCTGCCAGGATTCCGGGCTGCTGCGTCCCCAGCAGCCCAGGCTGCCACATCCCCAGCCCTACTACTGCACTGCCCCAGCCCTGCCCTGGGACTGCCATGGCTGCTGGGGCCCTGGCCCTGGCTCCTGTCCCACTGCTATGTGCTGTGGCTGCTGCAGCAGTGTTCCTGGCCCCAGCCCCATTACCCAGGCTGCTGCGTCCCCAGCTGCACTACCGGAGCTCTGGCCCCGGTCCCAACCCCAGCCCTGCCAGGCTCCCAGACACCAGCCCTCTTGCTGTTGGGGCTCCCAGCCAAGACTCTCTCTCTGGTCCAGGAACTTCCGTGGTTCTGCTGGACTATGGCTGTTGCCGGACCAGAGCGTCCCGGTTTTGGGAGGTCCAACCTGTACTAGTTTTACAACAGAGTAATGCCATGTTCCTCACCCTTGGACTGATACCAGCATAATGTATGCAAGAAGCTCCTGTAGGTTATTCTATCCTGAATACATACATATAAGGCAATAAAGAAGTATAACAGCGAAGAATCAAACCTTAAAAACTTAAGTTAAGTCTGTCCAAGGACATTATTAAGCCTAAAGCAAAGATATTCATATCTATGCTATAATTCAATTTCATGCTGGGCATGATATAAGAAACTGAATAAATGAAAACAGAGCTTGGACTAGGTGTCATACTCCAAAGGAATCTGATAACATCAGACATTAGTTTCAGTCAGACACTTGCAATAAATAGTGATAGAAATGTAGCTGTGTTAGTCTGGTGTAGCTGAAACAAAATACAGGACTATGTAGCACTTTAAAGACTAACAAGATGGTTTATTAGATGATGAACTTTCGTGGGCCAGACCCACTTCCTCAGATCAAATAGTGATCTGAGGAAGTGGGTCTGGCCCACGAAAGCTCATCATCTAATAAACCATCTTGTTAGTCTTTAAAGTGCTACATAGTCCTGTATTTTGTTTCAGCACTTGCAATAAATGTAACTATAATAGGGATGGAGGAAAGTCTTCACTTTTAATTTCTTTTTGTGGCTAGAAGTATTTCTGGATCAAATTCCATCTTTGGGTCGCCATCAGTAATCTGGATAATTTGATAGTAGTTTATGGCCAGATTCATCCTATGGGTGGCTGGGAAATTGCAATTAGAAATAACGTCCTCCTGTGCCTGAGGGAGCAACTGTGGCAGGGCAGAAGAGGATTGGCCTGATGGTAGTGCTACCACAGCTTATGGAAATGGGTTCTGTAAGGGAGGGAAAGCTTAAAAACTAATCAGTGCAGTGTGCTATCTGGGTACATCTACATGGCAATAAAACATCTGTGGCACCATACATCAGAGCCAAGGTCAACTGATTCAGTCTCAAGGGGCTCTGGCTGTGGGGTTAATAATTCCAATGCAGGATTTCTGGGGCAGACTGGAGATCAGGCTGTGAGACGAACCTCACCAAGTCTCAGAGCTCAGGATCCAGCCAGAGCCCAAACTTCTATACAGCAATTTTTCAGGTTGCGGGGTTTTTATCCTTGCATTGATGTACCCGTGACCCACCCTCGCTCACTGGGTTTCAGAGCCTAGGTCTGAGCCTGAACATCTACAACATAGTTTTTTTGTTCAGCAGCCCAAACCTCGCAAACCCAAGACAGCGGACCCAAGACAGCCACAGCAGTACAGACACACCCTAAACATAATGAATAGAAGGTTACTTTGGAGATGCATAGATGAAGCTCAGGAGCCATCCCAACTACCTCTCCAGAAGGCTCCACATACTTTGCATGTTATGATGAGCAGTCCTGAGCCCCTCAGCTGAGTGGAGGCTATTGGTGGCTTGTAAACTGTGCCCCACTTCTAGTAGATTTTGTATCTCTGAAGGCCACAGTCTGGGAACTACTAAGTAACATCTGGTGTAATCCACTGATCCAACATGCCCAAGGTAATCTGCCCCAACCTGGCACCTCAAGAGTAGTAAAAATAATCATCTTACTTATGAAATTATGGTGTAGCCTTAACAAGGCTGCTAAAGTCTAGCGCTATAAGCTTGCTAGTCAGAGATGGCCAGAGTATGCCTTTCCAACTCAGGAAATGTCTGTTTCTAACCCATTCTGTCTGGTTTAGGTTTTGCAAAACCTAAGAATTCTGCAATTCCTCTGTGACACCCCAAGGCTATAAAGGAACAGAAAATTGAAAGCCCATTACCCTTGACTGATTCATTATGCGTAGAAGCACACCAAATGCTTTCAACTTTCATTATAATTTTATTAAATAATACTCCCTGTCAAAAAAATCTTCAGCCTTCTTTAATAATTGTATTTGGTGCTCAAATACTACAGGTATGGAGGACAGACAGCTTTTTCCCTCCTGAGTTACTAGTATTTCACTAACCCAAACAATGTTTCATATTAAACTACAAAAAACTAAATTAAAAGTCCATGAGTACTGCTGTTTCATTGATTTTATGAAGATGGGTAGGAAGAGGCACAGGGTCCTTCATTGGTAAAATGTTTGTTACAGTTTATTCAGTTTGAAAGGTCATGGTTACAAAGATCATCTGTCGGGTCTCTGAATTCCTTTTAAGTGAAACTGAGTTGGTTAGCACATAAAAGGCAGGCTGTTCAGTGCCACTAAACCCAAATTCTCACAGAACATGTGCCCTTACAAAGAGATTAAGAAACCAAAGGAACTCAGGAACTGTGGTATAAGCGCTTGCTAAACAAGTTTGGCAGTCAAAACCTATAAGGACTAAATGTATACATGTTTGATAGAGAGAGATTTCATACACATATACATGTACATTTATGAATGTGTGG